TATCAACTACTTTTTCCTTTCTCCCAGTTTTGAAATTTCTACTTTTATTGATGACTTTTCTTAGTTTTATTTTTCCTTTTCTAGCTTCTTGATTTAAATGCTTAGTTAACTTTCAGTTTCACTTTCTGAGATGCATTTAAAGCTATAATTTTCCTCTGAATACCATTTTGGCCTCAAAACTTGAGGTCTTATTACTGTCCATTGTCCTTCAATTCTAAGTTGTTTGTAATTTCTACTTTGCTTTTCTCTTTAACTGGAGAGTAATAGAACAGTATATCTTTTTAATTTTTAAGTGAATAAATTCTTTCATATTTTTGTTTCTATTAGTCATAGGTCATTACTTTGGGGAGGCCATTTGTCCTGTCTTTTTTCTTTTTTCTTTTTTGGTACCGGGGATCGAACTTGGGACCTCGCACTTGTGAGGCAGGTGCTGGAACAAGTGGGCTAAATCCTGGGCCCCATTTGTCCTGTGTTTAACAGAGGCCTGCTCAATTTTCCCACAATCATTATGAGATTTGTCAATTTCTATTGTTTTTAAAAATCATATATATGTGTGTGTGTGTGTGTGTGTGTGTGTATGTCTATATGTAAATAAAAGTAACATTCTTGGTTACATGAGTTCAGCACTTCTTTTTTTCTTTTATTATACATGTTTACAGTACATAATGATTACATTCACTGTAGGGAATTGGTACATGTATATAATATATTTCAGTTCTTTTTTTCCCCCTTCCTTTCATCCTCCCTTTTATTTTTCCAGCATCAGATTCATTTATTTATAAGACCATATAAAGTTAATTAACATATATACAGATTAAAAACCAGACTAATAGGCCAAAGAACATATAAAACATGTAAGGCAGTTATACTGAGTAAAAGTATGCTTGACTTCAGTGCTTCTTGATGCTTGTATCTTTTCCCATTATAAATATGCTGTCTTTGTTGTGTTTAATTATTTAGCCTTGAATTCTACTTTGTGGATGCATTTGATTTGGTTAGCCCAAGGCTGGCATATTCTTTTTTATCCTTCTCATCTTTTCTGTCATTTTGCTTTACATGTGTCTTTTGTAAGTAGTTGACAAATGGACTTTATGTTTAGTTTCTGCTTGTAATAGGTCAGTTTAACCCATTTGCATTTATTGTGATTAGTGATAGATTTATTTCTGCCATCTTATTTCATGTTTTGGTTTTTAATACTTGCTTGTTTTGTTAGGTTTCTTTTTGCCTTTTGTTGAATTGGTCCCATTTACTTTGTTTTCTTCTTGCTCTCCTGTATTGATTAGGAAGTTTAGGGTTTTGCTTCTGTTTATCTAGTGGTTATGCTATATACATAAGTGTGTGTATACTTATAGCTGTCAGTATCAGGATGTAATCAAGATCTTTAGCCTCTTCCCAAATGAAGTATAAACTTTAGTACAGGCAGAGTATCCCTTCTCCAATATCAAAACAGGGGTATCATATTAGAACCAGGAATGTTCCAGATTTTAATTTTTCAGACGTTAGAATATTTGCATAGACTTTACTAGTTGAACATCTATAATCCAAAACTCCAAAATTCAAAATATTCTAATATCCAAAACCTTTGGAGGGTCATGTTTGTATACAAAAAGTTTGGATTTCAGAGAATTTCAGATTTTGAATTTTCACATTGCTCAACCTTATAGTCACTTACTTTTTCCTGGCCCCTTCCCTCAGATCTGGATCCTCATAGATGTTAGTTCTAAATTATCACCTATTCTCTTTAAATTGTGCGATATTTATTTAAACTTAACTCATGTTTTGCTGTTTTCTTTGCTTAAACTTCATAAAACCACTTCTTTCATGGATTTATTTTTAACTTTGCTGAAGTAATCCTTCAAAAATTCTTTTAGAAAACATGGATCATTTAATTCCTAAGATCATCAATGTCAAAAATGACCTTTTTCCTTTCCAGAGGGTTCACTTTTACTTTCAACTTCTTATTGAGTTTCTTTTTTTAAATTCTTGTATGATCATGTTTTTAAAATATCTTAGATCTCTAGTTTTGTTTTGGTTAACATACACCTTCAGCATCTTTAAATATATTACTTATGATATTACCTTAATGTCTTCTGCTGTATTGAATGCAGACCTCCCCATCTAGACTTCGGCCAGATTCATACCACTTTCATCTGTTTTATTGATTGCAGTTCTGAGTGGGATTTATTTGCGGGGGGAGGCTCCATTGGAGGAATCCAGTTGAAATCTTCCTGTTTCTCTGTCACCCCACTGTGAGTCCTCCCCCACCTTGCTATGGGTCCTGTCTTCTTATAGCCACATGAAAGTATCCTAGAATGGCCAGGGATTTAGCTCATTGGTTCTGCTGCCTTGCAAGTGCCAGGTCCTGAGTTCGATCCCTGGTATCAAAAAAAAAAAAAAAAGTGAAAATGCCGGGGATTTAGCTCAGTGGTTCTGCTGCCTGCCTTTCAAGGACAAGGTCCCGAGTTCAATCGCCGGTACCAAAAAAACAAAAAGAATCCTAGAATGTCAGAGCTGTAAGGGCCCAAGGGTCTTCATGCTTCTCATTTCCTACATGAGACCGAGGCCCAAGTAATGAGAGAGAACAGCCACGAGCTGCTCTCATGTCTGGGCACATTTCGGGTCCCCATTACTTGCCCCTGTGAAGTACTGAAGAATGGGAAAGGGTGGGCACCAATGTGGCTGTGGGGACCAGTCACTTTCTCAAGTACTGTCTAAAGTACCTGCCTGAGGAGATGTGGAGTCCTGGGGTACATGGATAGGTTGTCCCATGGCTTTCTTTGCCATCCACCTATGGACACTCCACATCTCTACCTCTCACCCTCTTTTCTTCTCAGAATCTGACTGAAGTCTTAAAATGCCTGTTGAAGTCTGACAGAGGTCTGCTGAGTTCTGCAGGCTGTGTCAAAATCTGAGCCTTCCGAACCCCAAGTCGGTTCCTCCAGCCAGAATCCAGCAGCATCTTTAGGGCTACTCCATTTTAGAACATAGCTGGAGTCTGGTCACTTCTCACAGACTCCCCTGCCCCCTGGTTCAGCAACCCTCCATTCTGTCTCCCCTGGATTACTACATGTACTTCCTGACTAGATCCCCTGCTTCCACCCATAGCCTGTTTTCTTTCCAGCAACCAGAATGGACTTTCCAAAATGCCTCTGGTTATGCCATTGTTTGCCCAAGCTTCAGTTGCCCTATCTTGCTAATGATGAAGTAAACCTCAACCAGGCCAGCAGCCCCTCTTGGCCTGTCCTGTCTCTCCCTATCTTCCTCCTCAGCCCATCAGTCCTGCCTTGGCTCACCTGCACCTCTGAGCCATTGCTGTTGTTATCCGTCTGACTGCAGAGCTCTTCCCTGTGTCACATGGCTCTCCCCTTCTCCATGTGTAGTCACTGCTCACAGTCACCTCCTGAGAGATGCCCTCCTTCCCTGACAAAGTGATGCCAACTTCTGCCGGTGACCTCCTACTGGCAATGTTCTTCATGCTAGGTACTTACTGTGCCTACAGTTGAATCGGCCATTTGTTTATCTGTCTCTCTGTTAGATTATAAATCCTGCAATAGCAAGGATTCTGCCTGATTCCCCTTATCTCCACAGTGCCTAGAACCTGGCTGGCACATGGTGGCACTCAGATATTAAATGAATGAACAGAATCACTTAGAGTTCACATTTATTTACTCATTCAAGTATACTTTGGGTACTTTTTGTGACATGCCCCAAATAGATGAGTCACACATACCAGGTTCCTGCCTCGGGAAGATAACAGCCTAGTGGCAGAGGGTGCAGGGAGCAGTTAAATGGGCAGCAAGAAGAGTGTCTGAGGGGGTTGGTGTAGAGTAAGGAGAGCCCTGGGGATCAGCCAGCAGAATTAGCCGGGGCAGGAAAAGCAGGTAGGCAGAGGAATGGTCAAAGGAAGGAGCCCCAGGCTGAGGGTGGGAGAGAAGGCCCTGAGCGAGGATGGCAGCTTTCTCCCAGCAGGCACTGCTCTAGGGCTTCTAGTTCTGTTCTGGGGGCATTGTTCATATTAACTCAAACAACCCTGGCTGTCCTCATTTTAGGAAATGCAGGCACAGAGAAGGGAGCCTGCCTAGGGTCACACCCCAGAAAGGATGAACTGGACTCGGCACAGTGGTCTGGCTTCAGACTCTGTTCACCAGCTCTGCTGCCTCCAGGGAGAAGGAGAAGAGAGCAGTGTGAAACAGGAAGGTGGGAGGCCAGGTGGTACGAAAGGGCATGGAAGATGCTGGAGGGTCAGATTTCTTCTTGGTGGGGCTGGAACTGCAGTCCTGCACTACTGAAGAGTGACGCTGGCTGTGACTGCTATCTTCTGATCTTTCTCTGAGGCAGGCAGGGTGAGCACTTTATCCCAGCAGGAGGAAGAGAGCATCAGGGGCTTGGGGGTGGTGGCTTGGAGGGAAGGGCCTTTGCCTCCCTCCTCTAGCTGCCCCTGCTTCCTGCCCCAGATCCTCTTTCCTGCCTAGGAGGTGAGAGACCCTGGCTGCCGAAGGCCAGTGCTTCCCTCAGGCCTACCTAGTGCATGTCCACACAGGGGCCGGGGGACCCTCCTGGCCAGCTGGCCTCTTCAGGGCTCCCGAAGCCTCCTTCACAAACACAGACTCCCTCAGGGGCTGCAAAGTATCAGCATTCTTTCCATTTAACAGAAGAGGAGATGGAGCTCAGAGTCAGGTAACTTCCCAAAGAATCTCCAGTTGTAAGGGCATCAGCAGGGATGTAAGCTCATCCCTGGGGACTTTGTGAAAGCTGATCCTGATCCCCTGAGGCTTGCCTGTGGGTGGCAGTTGAGGCCCAGTGAGCATTAGGTTGAAGTGAGCCCCCACTAAGCTGCACAATGAAGAGCCTCTGAAGGAGCTGAGCCCCACAGGGGGACCCTACATTGCATCCCCAGAGAGCTGGTGCAGCCACAGCTGAGACAGCAGCAGGCTGGGGTCTGAAGGCTGGGGGCTCCAGCTAGTGTGTGGCAGCCTCTGAGTGGCCTTGTCCTTCCCCAGTGCTGGACACAGCTGGGCAGGAGGAGTTCAGCGCCATGCGGGAGCAGTACATGCGCACAGGGGATGGCTTCCTCATCGTCTACTCTGTCACCGACAAGGCCAGCTTTGAGCACGTGGACCGCTTCCACCAGCTCATCCTGCGCGTCAAGGACAGGTGAGGGTGGCAGCAGGGCAGGCCTCCCTGCGCCTGGCTCATAAGGGTTGCTGTTCTACCTCTGCCCCTGGGCCCCCAGGTGGAAGCTGGGCACAGAGCCCAGAACTGAATTCTCCAGCCCTGTTTGTTCCTGTCCCTTCCATGCCTCCCTATTTCTTTCTTTGTTGTCAGGCTGCTTCCAAGACTTCAAGAGATCATCTCTCTCCCAGCGCCATAAACTGTCCCCTCAATCAAGGAATCATGGGTGACATCTTTGTTTTTCAACTCCATTTAACCAAATTATATTATGTGCAAAGAAAAAGTGAATTTTCTCTCCAGAATATGTAATTGATCAAGTGGCATTTGTGAGATTTCTAAGCCTCTAATTAAAGGCTTGTTTTTCCTTAGAATTGTATAGGAAAGTTAAATAATTTTAAACCCAACTGTTACTGTCACTTAGCTGTCAAATAGGCAATGCAAAGAAAATAAAAGGGCAAACTAATAGGAAAACAGTAAGCTTTGAACAAGTCCCAGCAAAGACCAAAAAAACCAGTTAATATCTGTTCCAAAGGAAAAAAGGGTTAATAACCTTTCCAGGTAAAGGGACACACACACACACACACACACACACACACACACACACACATTGCAATAGAGTAATGTGAGCTAAACCCTGGAATAGATGAAAAGATACAAATATATGAGAGAGCATAGATTGACCCTGTTGTGAGAAAATATTTAATTTTGTTGCTAATCAAAGAAATGTAAGGAAAGTATTACAGTATCTTCGCCTATCAAACTATAACATTTTAATGAAAATATCCAGTGCTGCCACAGATATTGTAAAATGACTTCTCATTCAACTTGGGTGGCAGTTTGTCCACATAAGTCTGAATTTTTAGGTAGATATGCCTTGACTCCACGTTTCCTTTCCTGGGAGCCATCCTCATTTTGCAGCTGCCATTGATTGATCAGGTGCTTGTGCTGTACTCTGTTCCTGCTCTTCATAGAGTTGTTGCAGAGTGCCTTGTAGTCAACACAGCAAAGCATAGAGTGATGGGGACCGGGCCAGCCTCACCACTAGCCCTGTGGCAGCCATGAGGCTTCAGACCAAGGCAGCCAGCAGCAGCCAGCAGCACCCAGGCTCCCTGTCCAAGCTCTTACCTCTTGGCTGTGTCACATGGCTCTCCCCTCTCCCTGTGTTACGCTATGCCTGAGATTTGGCTGTACTGCCCTAACCAGGCAAGGGGCTGGATGGCTTCACAGAGTTGTTGTTTTTCCCCCCAGGGAGTCATTTCCGATGATCCTTGTGGCCAACAAAGTTGATTTGATGCACCTGAGGAAAATCACGAGGGAGCAAGGAAAAGAAATGGCGACCAAACACAATGTAGGTGTGTGTGTGTGTATTGTGGGGACAGGGGGTGTGTAAAGGTGGATACTCCATCACTCCTGGTGTGATGGTTTTTGAAAAAGGCTGGATTTTTAGCAGCTGGATTCCACAGAGGCGAACCTTGTTGGGTAAAATGTGATGGCGAGATATTTTCAAAACAAGTCAGTAAACCAGAGACAAACACCTTCTGCAGTTATTAGAAGCTCTCTGAAGGCTTCGGTGTTCAGCCCCCACCCAGCCAGGCACAACAGATCCTGGGCTCTGCAGAGGACTTGGCTTCTGTCCACAGCCGAGCCAGTGCCTGAGTTTGCTCAGTCAGCAGATCAGCTCTGCTCACCGAGCCCTGCTCTGTGCCAGGCACAGTGCCAGAGGGGCACTTACACCATGTTATTTGCCCCTCACAACTACACCAGTGGGAGGTATCATTATCCCCATTTGACAAGTGATCAAATGGGCTTGCCCCAAGCTACATTGTGAACATGGGCAGACAGCTGTTTTTCTAGTTCATTGTGATTCCCCTCTCTCCTCCGGATGGTGCTGGATGGGTGTTTGAGTTGCCCTATCACATTGGCACAGTTCATGCCCCTGGCCTCCTTGGGTTGGTTGCACACAAGCCTCCTCAGCCGACTGGGAAGTTTGCTTCCGGTTTGCCCCTCCCCTCCACCCAGTTGCCCACTTTGTGCTCACAGGAAGGGGCATGCTGCTTGTTGATTCTGCCTGTCTCTGCCTTCTGTGTTGGTTCACTCATTCATTCTGTTGGCCCTAGGAAACAATAATCCCTGCCTGGTGGTGTTTACATCCAGTGACAGTAAACAAAGCAAATTAGAGTTCATCCAAAGGTGACATGAGCTATGGAAAGAAGCAAATCAGGGAAGGGGATCAAGAATGTGGAGTGCAGGGGGATGCTTTCCAAATAAGGTGGGCAGGGGAAGCTTTTCCTGGAAGGGTCCATTTCAGCCAGGATTTAAAGCAATGTGCCATGCAGATATCTTGGGAAAGAACGTTGTAACAGAGGGAATAATCCACACAAAGGCCCTGAGGTGGGAGTTTGTAGAGCAGCAAGGAGGCCAGTGTGGCTGAGCAAATCGAGCAGGAGAGGTGAACAGTAGGAAGTGAAGTGAGACCAGAGAGGTGGCCTAAAGCCCTGTGGGGTTTTACTAGAGTGAGGAGGGAAACCACCGGAGGGTTCAGGGGGAGCAACGTGGTCTGACTACATCTGACTGCTACCTTCTCTCTGCTGGCCAGGTGGGAAACAGTCCATAGGGGGCAAGTCTGAGGGCAGGGAGACAGGTAGGGGTGGCTTCAGTATTCCACATGAGGTTGACTTGCACCAAAGTGGTGCTTGTGAGGGTTGTGGGAAACAGTGGATTCCAGCTGTGTTTCCCAGGATTTGTTCCCAGATTGGATGTGGGACAAGAGAAGAAAAAGCATGGAGGATGATTCCAAAATCTGTGGCATAAGCAACTGTCAGAATCCTGTGAGCACTGAGTCACTGAGTGTGGGAGGACATCAGGGGGAGATGTGTGGGGAGGGATCAAGAGATGTTTGGAGGCTTCACTTTGAGAAGCCTTGTCCATAGGCAAGTGAAGAAGCTGCAACAGAGGTCAGACAGCCCGGCCTGGGGGTTAACACTGGAAATCATCGGGATGGAATTTATGCCATGATGGGGTGGGGGCAGGAAGAGAGGATGGGAGGATGTAGATGTAGAAGGGGTCTTGGAATTGAGGATGAGGACACTTCCAGCTATGGGAGATCAAGAAAGATCAACAGGAAGGACTGAGTGGTCAGTGATGTCAGAGGACCAGAGTGGGTATTTAGGAGCCAAGGGAAGAGAATACCTACTGGAGCAGGGAGTGGCCAGCAAGGCAAGGCCAGCCCAGGAGCTGACCTCAGAGTTTAGGATTAGAAATGGACTTGGTGGGGAATATGCAGAATACCTGATGTCCTGAACAGAGATGGGCCTGAGGTGCTATTTGCAGTTTAGTCTTGGGCTCTGTTATCATGGCCAGTCCCTCAGGTCTGAGGAGGGTTTGCTAAGTGCTTCCCTTGGGTGTGTGGAAGGTTTTCCCTCCCATTGGCTCTGGGTGGGTTGAGGAACTGCTCAGGCAGCAGTATCCCCATTTTGCAGATAAAAAGGAAGGAAACACAGGGAGTGAAGGATTTCTAGGTACCTCATGGCTGGCAAGTGCTACTCCCACCCCCTAGTGCCAGGATCTCTAGTCTCTGGACCTGATGCTGTTTCCCCCACAGCACATGCTGCCACCTCGTGTGTTGCTTGACCAAGTGACTCAGCATGCTGCTATCAATGACATTCTAGCTATATCTATGAGGCAAGTTCCTCTTTGGCTATCCAAGACAGGTTCCTCCCACCTAATGCAGAAGATAGAGTTTCCTGGTCCTTTGGTGGAGTTTAATGGTACTATTGTTTATTTATGGTCTTCTGTAGGTTAAGCCTTGTTGCTAATGAAATCCTGAAGTTCTAAGATAATGCACATCAGTTTTTCCTCAGTGGTGGAAGCAGAAACCCTAGAATGAAGGTGGAGGGTGTCTGAGTACCTGGGAGGATAATACAACTTGTCCTGCTGAGCCATGGGGTGGAAACACAGGCAGCAGTACCCTGAGACTCCTGGAAACCAGGGCTTACTGAGCTGGCAGGAGTACAGGATGCAGACAGGCTCTGAGCAGGTTCCAGCTATGCTGTAGGTGCTTTCACACTTCCCCTTGGTATGCATAGGGCAGCACATTGTCCTGATTCACACAGACACCTACCACACCTGGACATGGTGCCTGGCCTGGAAGAGGCCCCAAAGCTGAGTTTCACACCCCCAACTGTCCATGAGAGGCCAGCTGGGGCATGGAACATGAACCTGTTCAATCCTTGATTCTCTGCTAGACATGGTAGGCCCTGCCCGGTGTGTTGCTGAGCTCCAGCTCCTCCCTGCAGAATGGAGGTGCACACTTGCCTCGGAGGTTAACAAGCTGTAGTCAGATGGGGAGGATGAAACCAGTGCAGAGGTGTAGCCCAAAGTGTAGGGCACTTTCCTTTCAGGGTTATTGGAGCCTCAAATACTTGTCCAGTGAAGATGTCAAAGGCCTGAGCTGTGCCCGTTGTGTGTCTATCAGCTGCATAAGCCCTGTGCTTGAAGCCACAACAGTGTGGACATCTGACCTCCCATGGGAATCATTGACAGGAAGATACTAAGTGCATGCATTCTAGGGAATGCTTTACAGTACTGTATACTCCTCTAAAATAATGATTTATTCTGTTACCCTCCTCCCATACTTTCAGTGGGTGGTGATTTTTATTTTCTCCACTAACCTTTTCTTGTTCAGATGTGTTATAGTGAAAGGCACTTACTTTGTAATTGGAAAATAATTTATGTCTGACCTCAATCAGTTTATTTCCATCCCACCCAACGGGGGCTGTCACTTGTTTCCCTGAAGCCCCTGCATGTGGGAGATGAGCACTTCTGACCTCTGTGGAGTCCCTGGCAGGAGAAGTTGAGCACTCAGGAGTGTATCCTGCCCTCTGAGAGCCTTTGTTCTCCGTCTGGCAGTCAGACGCTCAGGGTGGACATGGCCTGTGGGGTCTCCTCAGCCACAGTGCCCACGTGCTGTTGCCTTCCCGCCAGCCATGTGATGATTCCTCAGCATTATCCTTGTGTAAAGTTGGCTGGGCTCCCGGCTTGTGTGCAGACCAAGCAAGAGCAGGCACTGCAGGCATGTTGGGGGTGGGGCTGGCACGGACCCGGCAGGGTCACCCCAGTTCAGAGTGCTGCTCACAGCCCAGCCTCTCAGCCTTTCCCTCTGAGGTTCACTCCAGAAGGGCTAGCAAGAGGGGCAGAGAAATGGACCTTGGAAGGAAAAAAGAATAGAATCAAAATATATCTTGGTATGAGAAATGAAACAATCTTTAGTCTGTGAGTATATAAAAAGATAATTTTAGTCTATTTTGGGGGAGCTGTTAAATATCTGTGTGACTAAAGAACAAGAGAGAATTTGAAAAGCCATTAGTAAAACTTTCCAACCTTAAAGAGCAGAAAGATGCCACCAAAGGAGATTTGAGGTTGCTGGAGGGGTGGGGCTGAGGGGGATGAGGACAGAGGGACTGTGAAGCCATGTGGGTTCCTCAGCACCTCTGAGTGCTTTGTGGATCTCAGTGCCATTTTGACCAAGTTGAGCTTTGCTTTCCAGATTCCTTACATAGAAACCAGTGCCAAGGACCCGCCTCTCAATGTGGACAAAGCCTTCCATGACCTCGTTAGAGTAATTAGGTGAGCACTGCGGCCCTCCCCAGCACAGGCCTCTGCAGAGGAGATCAGCTGGGCTGCGGCTGGAGGGCTGGAGGGCTGGAGGGCTGGAGGGCTGGAGGGATGCAGCTCCCATCCTGAGCCAGGAGCTTGGGCCATTTCAGGCCTCTTTATACTTCCTTCCATTCCTTTCCTCTGCACTTTCCACTTACTCTGGCTTCCCCTAACCATGTATGGGTTTGTGGGTGAGGTTGCTGGGTACCCAAGTGGTGACACCCCAACTGCTAAATGGAAATGATTTCTGCCCAGGGCAGTCCCACATGGAGCCTGCTCACCCTAGAGTTCTCCCAACGCAAAACTTTCAGTGCTTCCAATATGTAAAGAATAGGCCACCTCCTCCTCCCTGCCCTGCTCTTGGAGCACCCAAAGGTGTTTCCCTGAAGCACCAACACTGACTCTAGGGCCAAGCTTCAGCAGTCCTGACAAAGAGTCTTGCAGAGTCAGGGTCCAGACCTGACCACCTCATGCTCTGATGACTGAACTGGCCTCCTGGCCAGACGTTCTGCTACCCTTTTTATCCTATTCCCCAAATTTTTGACACATGAGCCTGAGAACCCATGGTTCTCAAATACCATACCTTGAATACATTGCTCTTGTGCTGGTGACAGAGCTGTTGGTTAGCTGTGATTCAGAACCAGGACATGTAAAAAGCTTTTGTGCCCAGTTGGCTTGTCATTTTGTTTGAAATATGAAACACAGAAACAGAGGCCAATGCTCTGATAGAGTTTGTGATTTAGATAAATACAGCCACAGCCTAACTCAGAAATTCCCATCAGTAGGCTGATTTAGGTTTTTCCCTCCTCTTCCTCTCCAGTTTTTTGCCTCTAGAGGTGCTGTCCAGCCAGGCCTTCCTCCAGTGGCTAGGACGGCAGAGTCCCCAAGTCCCTCACCCAGGAGAAGGGGGAGGGGACAGAGGAGGAGCAAAGCCCATTCTGACTTTGTCTTCCTGCTCTTCATTGTTTAAAAGGCAACAGATTCCAGAAAAAAGCCAGAAGAAGAAGAAGAAAACCAAATGGCGAGGAGACCGTGCCACTGGTACCCACAAACTGCAATGTGTGATATTGTGATGGCCGAGGCCCCAGCACAGCGACCATGACCAGCCCTCGAAACTCTCCACTGCCTAACTGCACTGAAAACCATTTCTAACCATGACCGAGAGCTTGGCACAGGAAGGGAGAGAGGGAGGTGGCCAGGGAGCAGAGTCAGGGCTTGCTTGAGGGCCCTGGCTTTTCCATCTCCTAAGAGAGGCAAGGAAGCCACCCGTGAACAGAAGCAGTATCCAGGCTCGAGTGTTGATTCAGCCTGGTTCCCCCTCTTGGTGGGTGTGTTGTGTTTTTTAACTACATGGTGTTGGTTTGATGTGGAAGTGTTTATCCACGTTCAGAGTACCAAACAAGCCATGAACAAGCTTCCTCCCCTTGACCCCAGTCTACAGTATCTGAGCTCAGATGTGTTTTGTAGATTTTTAAATTATTTTAGTGATGATTATTTTATTAAAGGGGTCTGTGCCCACTGCCTGGTGAAGTCCCAGATCTTTGGCAGACCTCTTTGACAACATGTCTGGAATCGTGTTGTCGTCTTTTTAACTGAGTTTTTCAAGCAGTGCCAAACTCAACCCAATATAAAAGTAGAGTGACTGAGAGAACAGAAGTTAGTGGGGAGGCTAACTAGTGTAGCTGGAGGCTTTGGGCTGTAGATCAGACATGGGAGGGAAACAGACCCTACTGGTACCCTAAAAACTGGAGAGAAGAAGAGGGCATTGCTATGGTTGAGGATGCAGATATTAGAAAACAGAACTTTAATTTGCTGAGGTGAGTAGCTGGCATGAATATGTCAGTTCTAAAAGGAGCATTCATTACCCTTAAATGTACAAACTAAGGTAAGAAGATGGGCTTTGTAAAATGTTCATTTATTTCTCAGACAGTCTGTGTTCAGTTCTGTATCTCCCCAGACATGAGAGAGTTCTGGGTTTCTCAGCTCTGCCCCTTCCTACTTCACCACTTCACCTGTGCTGCCTGGTGCTTCTCTGATTAAACACATGACTCATCAGAGGACGCTAACACGGACACTATCCAGAAAGCTCTAGCTCTTGCTGAATCTTAACCGGAAGGATTTGATGCTGTTATCACTGAAATACCACCAGGACTAAAGCCATTTCCCTTTGAGTCAACTGACCACCGCCTCTGTGAGCCCAGTAAATGAGCAAAGCCTTCCAGTATTGCAGACTTGGTTACCTTTGGCACATACTTTTGTTACCCTCTTGGATCTTGGTAAGATCCTGACAATAATAGCAGAGGAGAAAGCAAGGTTGGGCTAATGATAATGATGCTGCTCCCATACACCTGTTTCTTTAAGGGACAGTCCCCACCAACTGCCTAACAATGTGCCTCCCTCTCTGGTGCTGCTGGTGGAAATGAAGACTGGATTTTTCCAGCCAGGGTGGGGACCTTGGGGCAGCAGAAAGAGTGCACCCAAGAGAAAGTCAGTAGACAAGGTGGTGTGGCTACTGACCTTACCTTCCAGATGTTACTTTGTAAACTAGAACATCCCCAGCAAGTGGCCTGGATCCTCTTTGGAGAAAGAAACTTATGGAAGAAAGAAACCCATGGAAAGTGAGCCTCTGAGCAGATCCCCCGACACCTGGATTCTTCTCCAGTTCAGAGAGTATTCTGGGCTCCTAACCCTGATGATCACCAGCATGGAGGGCCCAGCCGAGGAGTGATTCTGCTGCAGAAGTAAACAGTGCAGACTTCTGTTAGTCAAACTTCCTATTTGTCAAAATACCCCTTTTTTTCTGTTCCTAAAAGGAAGGATAAGAGAACATTTCAGACGAGGCACTTCAGATGTTTCCCAGTATCCTATAATAAATAAATTAATGAGTATTTTAAACACTAGAAGGACAAGGCTTTTCCCAACCTTTAGGCTCCCCTGAGCCAGGACCATAGCAGGCACAGTACAATTCGATGGCAGCTGAAGACTGGAAATGGGGGGTGGGGGACAGGCAGGAAGATGTGAGGAGCAGGATGCTATGCTCTGCAAAGAAGGCAGCAGCCACTATCGGAAAACTCCCACCAGGTGCTGCCCACCACCAGCACACCCCTGCCCGCTGTGCACACACCCATCTCCCTCCCACTCCAACACCACTGTGTGGGGGCAGTCTTGTTGGAAGCAGATCAGTTGACCTAGAATGAAGCCCTGAGCCATAATGGTAACCAGAAAAGGGTTGTGCCACTCCTGGTCTCCCTCACTCCCTTCCGGAAAAGCTAGCCCCATCTTCCAGGGGATCTTTCCTAAAAGCCCACAGCTTAACTCCACAGTGCCTGAGGAAGAGACTGTGTAAGGGCTGGGCTTCTGCAGCCTCTGATAGTAAACTTTCCTCTCCTATGATTTCATTTCCCTCATAATTAAAATAGACCCTTGTAACAGAGGAGCCTTCCAGACAGGCTGGAATAGTATACCCAGGGATGTCCATCATCACCTGGCATGGCCAGCCTGAGAAACCTGGTTCGCCATGCTGCTCCATAAGTGGAGAGTCCCCTGAGACTTGTGCCTGCATTGTCATCCACACGTTACCACTGGTTTTACAGAGACTAGTGCTACCTTCACATCCACTGAGCACATGTCCTGAAATCTCGCCCCATGGCTTTGCCATTTTGTGTTCTCAGATGTACTCCCATTGTTCCGGCATTCTCCTTAAAGGGCTCCTTTTCTCCTCAGAGGCAATCCTAGCCATCCTTAGCTCCACAGACTGGGGCTATGCCCACTACCCATGCCTTGTGCCACAAAGGACACCTGGATATTTTCTCTTAGGACTTTGCCACCACCTCATGGTGCCTGCTGTGGAGAGTACATGGCTGGGTATGGCCTGTCTCACTTTGCCAGGAGTCATGATCCACTAACACATGGGAACCCTTTATCCAAAGCCCCCTAAGATGTGTTACAGAAAATGCAGAGCCACAGGTATGTCCTCTCCATTAGCAGCTCATTGGGTTGGAAATTCCATGTGGGGTTTACTTAGAATGAAAGATACTTGAATTATTGAGCGCCTTTGAGCGCCCAGCTTCTGTTACACAGTGTTACCAGGTGGCCATTGTCGTGAAACGAGAGTGATGCCTGAACATCTCGATGATGCTTGAGCCTTTTGTGTAATTTTTTATTAAGTCTGTGTATCATGACTCATTAATAAAGAAATAAAGAGAAACACCTATCTTATGACCTTTTATTCAAATATTCTTAAACTTGCTGAGAATGTTGCAGTTGTCAGTATTTTTCCTAGAATGCCCCTCTCTTCCAGATACCCAGGTGTCTCCTTCCTGCATGGAGCCAGAAGATGAAGGCAGGTTGTGCAGCATTCAGAAGCACAGCCTCTTGATGCTGAGAAGACTTGGATTCTAGCTCTGCCACTGACCTTTGTGTGCCTTTGAACAAAAGACCTGCTCTCATTTTCAGCTGCTCTGTCTGGATGGGACAATAGTACCCATGTCCTAGATGGTTTGAGGGCTAATGGTAAATATAGGAGCACATGGCAAGGTTCCCAGAAGTGGTACTCTTTGGACAGGATCGCATTGCGTTATCTTCCTGCCATTCCTTGTCACAGAAACCATTCCCTGTCCCCATCCACAGCATTAATCTTCCATACATTGTGATTTCATGTCTTTGTTCATTGACCCAGTGGAAACTTGACTAAAGTAGATATTCAGAATAGAAGTCAAGTCCCTCTCTTGGTACTCCTTTGGGTGACTGTGGCTGAAATACAAACTTGGGAGCTGGAGATGCTTCTCACACCCCCTGGCTTGTAGTGGAGAAGGATAGACCACAGATTTGAGAGGATCCATGCGGTGGGCAGCTCAGGCCCAGCTTCCTGTTGGGTCATTCATTCCACAGATATGTGTTGGGCTTGATTGTATGGCAGGCTGGGCTGGGTGCTAGGTGTATGGTAGTGAACAGGGCACAGGGTCGTCTGATAGTCTGTTCCTCCTCTAGTCACAATGTTTCCTGTAGCTGTAGTAACAAATTACAAACTTAGTGCCTTACACAGAAATTTATTCTCATGGTTGTAGAGGCCAGAAGTCCCAATTTAGCATCACTGGGCTACAGTCGAAATGTCAACAGGGCTACATCCCACTATGGGTGCTCCAGTGGGAGAATCTGCTGCCTTTCCCAGCATTGTGGCCACACTGCCCCATCCACAAGGTTGGCATCTTCAACTCCATCTTATCCACCTTCACCTTGCCTTCTCTGTGTGGGCCAAATCACCCTCACTCTTAGCTGATGCCTTCTCTTCATGGAGAAGTAGAATTTCCACAGACTCATTCTACTGCTTCTACCCACCCACCAGCTGCACCACACGCTCTACCTTCTTTTTTTTATTGGTACCAGGGATTGAACTTGGGACCTTGAGCTTGTGAGGCAGGGGCCAGAACCACTGAGCTAAATCCCGGGCCCTCTACTTTCTTGATTGTTACAGACATCATCCATTTCTCCCTCTATGGGATCTTCCTCATTTTAAAAGTAAATCCTTCCTGGGCTGGGGATTTAGCTCAGTGGTTCCACCACCTGCCTCAAAAGTGCAGGGTCCCAAGTTTGATCGCCCGTACCAAAAAAAAAAAAAGTAAAAGTAAATCCTTCCTTTGATTCACTTCCTCTGCCAGATAGCACTTGGTTCTCTGCTGTCTTTTGTGGGAAACTAAAAGAATAATATTGCCCTTTAATTTCTTTTTCTTTAAATTGCTTCAGGTGATTTCATTTGCCACTCCACAAGCGCCTCCATCTTCAAGTCCAACAATGGCTTCCATCTTGTTAAGGTCAGTGGCTCCCGGTCTCTCCATAATAACCCCTGCAGCACTGATATAGTTGATTGCTCACTTGCAAACTTCTTCTACTGACTTCTGAGGTTCTGCCATCTCTTAGCTTTTGTCCTTCATTGATCACTCTTTTCTTTCCTCAGTACTGGGGATTGAGCCCAGGGCCTTCACACTGAGCTACATCTGCAGCCCTTTTTTTTTCAGACAGGATTTCACTAAATTGCTAAATTTTCCAAGCTGGGCACAAATTTGCCATCCTCCTGCCTCAGTCTAGTTGCCCATTTGTTTCCTGTGGCTGTTATAACAAATTATAATTTTACTGGCTTAACACAGAAATTTATTCTCTCACAGTCCTAGAGGCCAGAAGTCCTAACTCAGTATCACTGGGCTATAATCAAAGTGTCACATTGAGACCGCTGATTCCATCACTTTGGGAGATTAAAGATTTCCTTTTCTAAAGCATAGTCAGGTTGCTGCATCCACAAAAGCACGATTTTAAAGTCCACTACTGTCTCTGCACACTTTTGAAGAGGCCATGGATAAAAGTTCCCAGGTGTCACATGTCAGCATTGGCATCGGTTGGAGCTTATCAGTCATGCAGACTCATAATGGCAGTCAGTCCTGATATACTGAATTAGAACCTGCATTTAAACAAGATCCCCACTGATTGATGTGCACAGTAGTCTAAGCAGCATGACCCCCGAACATCAAGCTTGACATGGGGATAAAATCCAGCCCCAAATTCACTGTGCCTTAGGACCCAGTTCAGTTAGGTCCACTGGAAAAAGCCTCATCTGCAAGCAGCTGTAGGATTCTACCTCCCAAGGTGGTGGCTCATAAGTGTCCTCCACCATCAGCGCATGTTGTCCCTTCATCTGGGAAGTTTTTGCACAGAGGCAAATCGCTCCCATTTTGTTTCTCAGACACTTGCATTTTTCTCAAAATGCAGACAACTGTGTTAAATATAAAGAACAAGAGAAATCAAACAGACTGAGCTGGGAAGTGTTTAAAAGTCTCCATATTCTTCAAGTGCTCCAAATGAAGGACAGGCACTCTTTGCAAGCTGAGGATACTTTCATCCCCCAGGAGTCTCACTCTACATAGCTGCTGGGCTTGCCAAATAGCTAATTAGTATAGCTGCTGGCTATAAGTTGCCCAGGTCCTTCCTCTTTCCTTCCTGCATCTGATTAGGGAGGGTCCCTCGAGGTCTGGAAGCAGGCAGCCCGGTAACCTTGTAAGCTACACAAAATTAGGGTATATTTGTATTCTTTTGGGGAGATAGTCATGTTTTGACAGATTTTTCACTGGGTGCTATCCAGTGTGAAAACGAACCAGCCTCTGTAACCTTTTCTTATGCCAGGCCCTTCTGGTAGTTTCACAGCCACAGAGAATGGGAAGAGGAAATGAAAGGAACAAAGAGTCATCTACTACACCACTTCTAGAAGCACTGAAAAAATTGTTCATTTGGTACACATGTCCCTGAACTCCCTCCCACGACATCCTGAGGGAGGGGTGGGGCAGGTGGCACTGCTCCCAGTTCTCCCCACACGACTGTTTGGCCTACACATGACTCACCTACTACCTCCTCCCCCACCATAGCTAACACCACCTGCCTCTGGCCCCCAACACCCTGGCCCAAACTTGGAAAAGGAGGAAATTGAGGATATTGAGACAGTTCTGGGATGACTTGGCAACCCATTAGGACAGGAGCCCAGTTGGGAAACAAAGGCAAAGATGTGAGGACTGCAGAAAAAGCACTTGAAGTCAAATTTGTAACCATCTAGGCCAGTGTTTGCAACTTGGACTGTGTATTTCAATCACTCAGGGAGCTTAGAAAATAATCTCATGGCACAGACCAACCTCCAGAGAAACATGCAGTTGGTGTGGGTTGGATCCAAGCATTAAGACTCTTTACAGCTCTCCAGGTGATTCTCTTGTTCAGCTGAATTGAGACCACCAGCTGGGGTGCATTTTATTCTTGTCCCTTGAATAGTATGGTTTTCCAGTGATCACTGGTTATTCAGAAAATTAGCTGCCCATTGTAGTCAATGTCTGAAGTTACTAAAGGAACACAGTGTCCCAGCCCTTTGTGTGTAAATGAACACTGGACCATAGATGATTCTTTCCATTAAAGCAGGTTCTATCCAGAGCTTGGCTTATATTGTTGATTCATCTAATCACAAACTACAGTGATATCTCATTTGCCCTTCCACTTTTCTATTCCCTAAGGTCCAGGGAAGGGCTTGGTGGTACAAAGTTAATACTTAATGTTTATTAAATGAATAAAGTTATTATAGGTATTAGTCTCCATGCCTTGAAACTGAAGTCAGATTAACTAAAAAACTCCCCTTCTCCACCCCTAGTCCTGTAACTTGTGGCGATCCCAAGGCCATTATAAACTTCAGACATTCTCCAAAGACAGGATCTCCTTCTGTCCTCTGCCTCTGTCTCTGCTATATTTTTTATTTTCAAGTTCAGCCTCTGCCTCACTTTCCACAAAGAAAACCCACTGTCAGTAACCATCATCCCATATCACATCAGACCCTCTGCTGATCCTACTCTTCTCCAACAGCAGCCTCCAAATATGCTAAATACCCATCTCTCAGATTCTCTCAATCCCATCTGCTTTCTTTAGCCACATAATCCAATAATCCTTTCCAAGGGTGAAATGTGGTTCCAGCTGTTAATATGACCAAAGCCTCTGGTTTTCTCAGGACTAAGACATTTTCTGGGATCTGGACTCTCATTGCCAAATCTGGGACATCCGTGACTGTCAGTCACCCTACTGGTAAGAATAAAATGTTCCTCCTGTTCTGCGATAATAGCACCAATAACTAAATTAGCTGCAGGTTCTCAGTCTTTAGCAACCATCCTAATCCCTTGGGAAGTTGGTTTACTTTGTGCGTTGCTAATATAATCCTTTGCCACAGCCTCAAGATCCAACCACTTTGGTTAATTTGGGAGAGGAGGTTGTAGTGTAATTGGCCCAACAACCAAGTTCTCTGGGAATGTACTCTAGTATTGTTGATGTCACAAAAGTAATCTGAGTATTGACTTACAGAGAAATAGTGACAATTATGTGACCCTGTTACTATCAAGAGAATCAGCTGCTATAGTATTGTTTGAGACAAATTGAATATTAATATACCGTAAGAAACAGCTATGTATCATCCTTAATCCTAGAGAAGAAATTACACCAATTATGGTGTAAAAATTAAGACAACCCAGGAATTGACTTACAGTTAAGATGTACTAAATGTAACAGCTGTGTCTCTGCTAATGGTAGAAAAGAATTCAAAAATAATTTTACAGAGTTAACTATCAAAAGATTAACAAAACTTTATGGTTATACTATTAAAGATACAAGGTTTAGGAATGGGAGGATGCAAGAGGAAAA